GGATGGTTGTAGTGAGATTTAGAAGTGTAAAGAAACTTGTCTGTGTTTGTGAAGCTTGTGAGTGCTTAAGATTCAAACTCAAGTCTTACTGTAGGTGATGAGCAACAGAATCAGATATCAAAGGTGATCAGATATGGAGGGCAGGGGAGTTTTGCTAAAATGACTTGATTCTTGCTAACACTGGCCTAAGCAAGTCAAGCTAGAGCCCAAGGTTAGTGCCTAGTCAGAGGAGCCTGACTCAAGTTTGGTCAAAGGAGAGAATCTTTGTCATCCCCTACTGAGGACATTTCTTTTCTTTGCTTTCCCTGCCCCTGCCCCAATACTGGGTATTGAACCCCAAGGCACTGTACCACTGAGCTACAACTCCAACACTTTTCTAGTTTTAAAATTTTTGACAGGTTCTTACTAAGTTTTCCCAGGCTGGCCTCAACCTTATAATCCTCCTGCCTCAGCCTCCTAAGCAGCTAGGATTTCAGGCATGCACCATTGTGCAGAACATTTCTTTTTTGCTTTTTGGGGGGTGCTTTTTAAAAAAAAAAAAAGTCTGTTACCTAGGATGCAAAGTTCTTCTGGCATGTGAAAATCTAGATTTATATTTTAACTTAGACAGTCTTTTATGAGATTTTCTGTGACAAATATTAGCATTATTTGTTTGTTTGTTTAATTATTTTGATACCAGGGATTGAACCCACGGATACTTTACCACTGAACTGCATCCCCAGCCCTTTTTATTTTTTATCTCGAGACAGAGTCTCACTAAGTTGCAGAGGCTCTCCCTAAATTGCTGAGGCTGGCCTCAAACTTGTGATTTTCCTGCCTCAGCCTCTGGAGTAAGTAGGATTACAGACAAACTCCACTGCACCTGGCAATAGCAGCATTTTTAATGCATTTAAAATCAAGATTATATAGAACTTTTGAGGGATAATATATATTATTTGAAGCAAAACATCCAGGATCATATAGAAAATAATGTTGGATGTTCACTTCTGGAGTCTTACACCTCTTTTCCCCTTATTTGGAAGTGGGTTTTAGAGATTAAAATACCTATTATAGTCTAAGTAAAAGAATCATTCATTTAAAAGAGACACTATTGAAGGCCTTCAGTGCCACAGTCTGGCTGGGCACAATCAGGAGCCACTTGTCAAAAGAAACGAACTTTATTTTTAGAACCACACAGGCCAAACAAAACAGCTCCTCAGGAAAAACCCTCAGAGCCCAACTGCCACCACAACTGCTTTCCACAAGCCTCTCCCCCAAAACCACAAGCCTCTTCACCTCCCACAATCCTCCTGCTCTTGAGGCCAATTGGCTGGGTCGCGTGGGCGTAGCCAAAAAAAGCCCCCAATGAGCAGCTCCGTGGTCTGAAAGGGCAGGGAAACAGCCCAATGAGCATCACCGCAGAGGAGCCAATCAGCTACATGTTGCTGGGGCCGCTGTGAGCCAATCATCAGCTGGCAGTCTGAAAGTTTGCTGGGGCCCCTTCGGCTGTGGCTCTCAACATCTCCCCCTCTCTGTTTAAACAACAAGCATGTGGCTTAGGGACCATGCCTGCCTTAGGTTGTCCAATACTACATATGGTGCTTACCCGTTATCAGATGAGCTGACCTCAAGGCATCAGCCTCCTGTCTTAGCTTGGTAGCATTGCAATTGGATCTTACCCGTCACTGACTACCAGTCCAGTATACAGCCACACCTGTGGAGAGGTCTTTGTACCAGCGGGGGGTGAGGTTCTTTGCCTCACCTCTGTTGGCCCCCAAATTTTAGCTGAACGATCATGACAAGCAGAAGGGAGGAAGATACACCAAGCCAATTGATGGCTCCTTTTGGAAAATTGTACCACCGATCACATCATCAGCAAAAATACCCCAACACTACCACAAGTCGCTGCACCAACAGATAGTTCACAATGCATACAGGTGAGTTCACAATGCATACAAGTGATACATAGTCCAGGCAAGTTCTGCCAGCAGTTCAGTGATGGCTATTGCAGAAGCTGTAGATCGGTTTTATCTTTGTCTTCAGCAGCACTGGGATGAAGATAGGAATTCTGGCAATAATGGCTAAAGAAAAATTATGTAACATTCCAGAAGGCACTAAAAGAAAACAATTTTCTTAACAATTTACATTGTCTTGAAGAGAATTATTAAATATAATGAAAAGAAAAAGTTAAAGTAAACAAACAGATCTGTTAACCTCCTTTTTTGTTCACATATTAAAACAATCCTCAACAGTTGTTTACCCAACTTAAATTAAACCATTTAAATCACGTGAAAAAAAATATTTGGATCCATTTTTTTTCATGAGCGCTCATCATATATGATATATGGACGTACGTACATTCAAACATATAACACAAAACACAAGTGTGCACACATAATATAATACATACAACACATAACATAATAGTAAAGGCCTTATAACTTTTTACAGGTGAAATCTCCATTGCAATGTTTAAAAACTCTATAGTCAAAAAATAGAACTGATCAGCAAAACATTAACCTAGGTCTGTATGAGCTCAAAAAACAAAATAGAACTTCATAATATGGGAAAGGGCTCTCAACACTTCAGTATACTCAGAATGAAGGAAATGAGGGATGGATTATTTAAGACTGTAATCATTCATTCTGACTTTTTTGAAAATGAAGAAGGGGTCTGGGTCTAGGGTCAGGAGGAAAGATTCTGGAGATGACTTTCAAGAGTGGGTTCTTTTGGGCTGGGATTGTGGCTCAGTGGTAGAGCACTTGCCTGGCAGGTATAAAGCACTGGATTGATTGTTAGCACCACATAAAAATAAAAGTATTATGTCCATCTACAACTAAAAAAATTTTTCTTAAAGTGGGTTCTTCTACTTCAAGTAGAATATAAATGGAAGAAAATTTGGCTTCTGAATCTCTCATTGCTGCCTTTATCATGTAGGGATGAATAAGGAGAATTTGAAGATGAAAATTGTTCGATAGGCTCTGCTTCCCTCTGATGTTGTTCATTTCAGAACAGCTTCCAGGGAATATGGTGCATGTGGGGGCCTAGCTAGTGTGAGGGAGATTGGATGGACCCATAAAGTATCATGGAAAGCAGAAGCACCAGGGTTTATTGGTCACATGCTCCATCTCAGGCTCCACTCATGGTATAACATTTAGTTTTTAGGAAGTTTGATCCCTGTTTTACAAATTAAGGCAGATGAAATTCAGAGGAATGATGAAGAAGCAGTTTAGCAAAGGTTTCCCAACACCAGGATGGAGGAGTTGGAACTAGAGGATATTTTTATCCCCCAAACTTTTGTCCTTTCTATCATGCCCTCTGTCCTATAGCCATCATTGAGTTTATACCAGGTTTATAGGCAAGGCTAGTTCTAGAACTACTCTAACCACATGCAGCAGGTGAGAGTGACTGGGGCACCTTTTCTTTCCTTGTGCCCTATTTTTGTTAGTGTTTTGCATAACCAGCTTAAAGTAACCTGTAGAAGACTCCTTAATTTATTATTTTATATTTTAACTGATACATGAAAACATTAAACCATACATATTAATGGGGCACCATGTGATGTTTCAGTGCATGTATACATTGTGTAAATCAGGGTAAACACATCTATCTCCTCAAATATCCTTTTTTTAACTTTTTAGTTGTAGTTGGATACCATACCTGTATTTTAAAAATACCTTTATTTTGTTTATTTTTATGTGGGTGCTGAGTTTTGAACTCAGGGCTTCGAACGTGCTAGGCCAGCGCTCTACTGCTGAGCCACAACCTCAGCCTTTATGGTGAAACTTTCAAAATCCTTTCTTTTGGGGGCTGGGGTAATAGCTTAGTGGTAGAGTGCTTGTCTAGCATGCGTGAGGCACAGGGTTTGATTCTCAGCACCACATAAAAATAAATAAATAAAATGAAGGTATCATGTTCATTAAAAAAAATAAAATTTCTTTTAACTTTTTGAAATGTAGAATTTATCATTATCTGTAGTCACCCTGCTTTGCAATAGCACACCAGAATGTCTAACTGTAACTTACAATCCATTGATCAACTTTTCCATTCCTCCCTCTATGTGACTCTCCTCAGCCTCTGATAACCATCATTTTACTCTCAACTTCTATGAGATTAATTTTTTTAGACTCCACATATGAATGAGATCATATAGTATTTGTCTTTCTGTGCCTGACTTAATTCATTAACCTCTTTGTTTTTTTTTTGGTTCTTTTTAGTTACATATGACAGTAGAATGTATTTTGATATATTATACATACATGGAGTATAATTTCCCATTCTGTGGTTGTACATCATGTGGAATTACACTGGTTATGTATTCATATATGAACATAGGGAAGTAATGCTTGATTCATTCTACTGTCAGCCTCTTTGTTTATTATCAACACTGTGTCTTCCCATTTTTTGACATGCCATAGCAGACCCCTGTGCCCATGGGAACATCATGAGCTGGTTTCTCTGACACACGTGAACCCTTTGTTTCAGAGTCCCACATTTAGAATCACAGAGCCTCCTGAGTCTTTGGCTACTTTCCAGAGTGATAGTGCTATGGTTTCTGAAGAAACAAATTTAAAGAAAATCTTAGGAAACAGTTGGCACACAGTAGGTGAACATTTATAGAAAGAATGGATCTGTTGTCTCCTGTAAACCCCTATGTAAACAGCAATAGATTTACATGTTCTACTACTTTTGTACTTGGCAGTTTTCCCACAGTGTTTATTTGAAAACAAGTTCACATTATATCTCAGGTCACTTTTATATTGTTGCTGGTAACACTAGGAACTTACTTGTTTTAAGAAAAAAACTGTTTTCAAGGTTACTTCATGGAATAAATGCTCTTTTTCTCTTCTAATTAAGTTATTTTCTTAAACTAACTATTTCAGAGGATAAAATTTTAACTAGAGACTGCAGGATTATTTAACCTTTCCTTTCTGACTAGTAATAACTATGTTACCATGAAAACACTTTATTTCTTCATTTATTAAGTTGTAAAATCATGGAACATTTTTATCTCTTAATAGGGAGAGATAATGCATGTGAGAAAACTTCATACATGTTTCTACGAAAGGAACTTCCTGTGCGACTGGCTAACACTATGAGAGAAGTTAATCTTCTGCCAGATAACTTACTGAACCGCCCTTCAGTGGGATTGGTTCAGAGTTGGTAAGTAAATAATGTGGCTTGAAATGAATCTTCCCACAATGCTATGAACATTTGGCTTTGGAACCATTCTCCATAAAAGTGCACATACTGCCCATGTGGGAATGAGTCATTCAGGGTAGCTGGGTTTTCCATGCCCTTAAAAGATGGGTTCTTTTTGAACTGTTCAATTTAAAGTATCTTTAAAAAATATTTCTAAGGCATAATAGATACTTTCTTGACTTTTCAAATCTAATTGTTCTGCTTATAGATGTGATTGCTCATTGAAAAAAAGGAAAGTAGAGAACAATACAAAGGAGTAGCAAGGTAGTAGCCTGTGAGAATGGACCTGCCTTCCTTCAGATAGGAAGATGTTTCCCACATTTATCAAGTTTAAGCTTTGCTGCTTTTATTTTCCTTTTAACTTAGTTCCTTTAAGGCAGTGCTTCTTGGAGAATATGTGAATTTATTTAAAGGGGAACCTCAGATTGCAAAAATATCAGCTCCACGTTGTGCTTCATGTGCCCAATGAAAAGTATGAAAAATCTTAACAGACTATAACTTCAAGTTAAATCAGATATAGCACATGCCTGTAATCCCAGCAACATCAAAGGCTGACACAGGAGGATCAAAATTTTGTGGCCAGCCTTAAAATTTAGCAAGGCCCTAAGCAACTTAGTGAGACCCTGTCTTAAAAAGATATGAAGGGCTTGGGATGTGGCCAATAGTAAAGAGCCTCTGGGTTCAATCCCTAGTACCCCCCCCAACAAGAGAATTAAATCAGATATAGCTCTGATGCATAAAACAGATGTTATTAATTGAGGAAGTTGAATTTGTGATGAAACTCCCTACTAGGTAAGCAGGGTGAGATAAGTGAATGGTATAATGTAAGAGCAGGTGATAAGTGAATGGTAGAATAATGGAAGGTGGTGTGTTTTTAGAAAGGAGTTTGCATATATTTGATAAACATTTACAGTTCTACTCTGTGTTGTAAAAACAAGGTAGAAGTCCCTGGAGAAAGGTGGAGGAGTTTGGAGTTTGTGAGGCCAAATGGCTTAAGTGCTCTTGGGGCAGACACAGTGTGGTGGTAACACAGAGGAGGGGTAAAAACTGCTCACTGTGGTCTTTAACTGACCTTGATGGGGGTGGAGTTGACCAGTAAGGTGACTGGGATAGCATCTTAAGAGAAGGGAATGCTGTGGACAAATACAAGGAAAATGGAACCAATAATTAGTTTGCATTTAGAGGGATCATGGAGGCCAGGCTACTGAAAGAGAATGCACATTCAGCAGTCATTTCTCAATAGTAGTAATAATAATAATGTAATAAATTCTTAGGGCTAAGAATGAGTCACCTGAGAAGCACTATATTGGATGGTATTAGAGTTATAGTGTCATTCCCTTTCCCCAAAAAGCAACAGCTCCTTACTAGTTTGCATGAGGCTTCTTTATTGCCTCAAGATAATTATTAAAGCTCTTCCAGCATTCTAGGTAGGCAAGGTCAAGTTCCCAGATCTGGTTGGTGATGATGGTCAAGCATTTTCTATTACTTTTGTGGTAGTTACTTCAGTGGCTTCCAAGTGAATTGCTGGCTCTGTAGTATATTCCAGTACTAATAAGAAATTCTTTGATTCTTCAGACACCAGATGGGTGTTCAACAATTCAATTCAATTCTGGTATTAAGTACCTGAAGTTTTCACAGACCCCACAACTTAAGAGCTCAGTCCCTCAAGACTGACACCTACTTCAGACACCAATTGCAACTCCCTGGGCCACCTTTGCTTTTTACAGGCTGACTGTAAATTGAGTTTCCACAGCTCTCTTTTTAGGTTTGATAATTTGCTAGAATGGCTCACAGAACTGAGAAAAGTACTTTGCTTACTGTTTACAGGTCTATTGTAAAAAGCACAACCCAGGAATAGCCAAATGGAAGAAATATGTAGGGCTAAGTGGGAGTGTGTATGGCTTCTGAGCTCTCTCTGGGTTCAACATCCTCCCAGCACAACAACCTAGGGGCTTTCAGAATCTTTCCCTTCAAGAGTTTTTATAGAGCTTAATCTCCTGGCTGTTCCCACCCCTAGAGGTGAAGGTGAATTTTTTTGGTAACCAGCCCTATCCTGAGGCTATCTAGGCACCTTACTCTCAGTCAATCTCATTAGCATAAACTCAGATGTGTTTAAAAGGGGCTTTTGATGAACAAGATACTCCTATCATTCAGGAAATTCTAAGGATTTTAGAAGTGTACTAGGAACTGGGAACAAATACATGATGTATTTTTTTTATTGGTTGTTCACAACATTACAAAGCTCTTGACATATCATATTTCATACATTAGATTGAAGTGGGTTATGAACTCCCAATTTTTACCCCAAATGCAGATTGCAGAATCACATCGGTTACACATCCACATTTTTACATAATGCCCTATTAGTAACTGTTGTATTCTGCTACGTTTCCTATCCCCTACTATCCCCCCTCCCCTCCCTCCCCTCCCATCTTCTCTCTCTACCCCATCTACTGTAATTCATTTCTCTCCTTGTTTATTTTCCCATTCCCCTCACAACCTCTTATATGTAATTTTGTATAGCAATGAGGGTCTCCCTTCATTTCCATGCAATTTCCCTTTTCTCTCCCTTTCCCTCCCATCTCATGTCTCTGTTTAAAGTTAATCTTTTTTTTTCCTGCTCTTCCTCCCTACTCTGTTCATAGTTGCTCTCATTATATCAAAGAAGACATTTGGTATTTGTTTTTTTAGGGATTGGCTAGCTTCACTAAGCATAATCTGCTCTAGTGCCATCCATTTCCCTGCAAATTCCATGATTTTGTCATTTTTTAGTGCTGCATAATATTCCATAGTGTATAAATGCCACAACAGACACTTCTCAGAGGAGGATATACAATCAATCAACAAGTACATGAAAAAATGCTCACCATCTCTAGCAGTCAGAGAAATGCAAATCAAAACCACCCTAAGATACCATCTCACTCCAGTAAGATTGGCAGCCACTATGAAGCCAAACAACAACAAGTGCTGGCGAGGATGTGGAGAAAAGGGTACACTTGTTCATTGTTGGTGGGACTGCAAATTGGTGCAGCCAATTTGGAAAGCAGTTTGGAGATTCCTAGGAAAGCTGGGAATGGAACCACCATTTGACCCTGCTATTGCCCTTCTTGGTCTATTCCCTGAAGACCTTAAAAGAGCATGCTACAGGGATACTGCCACATCGATGTTCACAGCAGCACAATTCACAATAGCTAGACTGTGGAACCAACCCAGATGCCCTTCAATAGATGAATGGATACACGATGTATTTTTGTGTTATACACCAGCACACCACACCAGCAGAATATAGAACTCAAACAAATTAGTGTGTCAACTCCTTTTTTTTTTTTTTGGTCTCTCCACCGTTCTTTTTCCATACCTCTTTCAAACACATACATGCCATTTTGTCCTTTTTGTTCCTTTAACATTATATTTTGAAATAATTTCCTACCTAAGAGTTGCAAGACTATTAGAATTCCCATATGCCTTCGCTCAGATTCATTGATTATTAACATTTGGACACATTTGTTCTACCACTGTGATTCATATTCATACTCTGTCTCCATATGTGTGTGTGCATGTGCATATGTATGGTACACACATATGTGTATATGAAAGAAATATAAAAGTTCTCAGAATCAAAATAGAGTCACTTGTAACAACCTTAACAAAAATAAATAAGGCTAGTAGGTTATAAAGAAAGGGTTCTTATGTGTGAGTGCCTGATAGTAACTACCACAAAAGACTGCAAGAACCATAAGCTTATACAGAGTCCACCACAACCTTATACAAAAAATACTTCTCTAAGGACATCTGCCTAGCAACTGTTTAACTTCATACTGATGCAAATCTTGCTAACCATCATGGCCAAGGATTATTGTTTGAAAGTCTGATGTAATCATCTTCATTTTTTTGTCTTTAAAAGCTTCCCCTTGCCCTTCAACTCCTTTGAATTCATCATAGCTTACTAAAATGTATTCCCATTGCCAGGCTCTGCTATTGCCATTGTAATGCTGTTCCCAAATAAGCATCATTATTCTTTGGATAATCTCTCTCTGATTTTTTTTGTATTCTTTTTTAACCAAACTTTATTATTTTATTTTTTCCACTTTTTAAAATTGGTGCATTATAGTTGTGCATACTGATGGAATTTGTTGTTCTATGATTTTTTTTAATGATTGCCATATTGTACACATACATTTTTTTCCTGAACCATTTGGATTAAGATAGATATCATGTCCCTTTGCCCCTAAATACTTTGGCATATATGTCCTGGGAATAACTCTTAGAAAACTAGAATATGGTCATCACATTCAGGAACTTTAAAATTGATACAGTAATAATTCCTAATATATAGAACTTGTAATAGTGCACCTTTTTTTTTTTTTTTTAGCAGTCTCCCCTCCTGATTTAGGAATTCAGTTCAGGATCATATATTTGTGTGTTGTTGTCATTTGTTTTTTTTTTTTTAAAGAGAGAGTGAGAGAGGAGAGAGAGAGAGAGAATTTTTAATATTTATTTTTTAGTTCTCGGCAGACACAACATCTTTGTTGGTATGTGGTGCTGAGGATCGAACCCGGGCCGCACGCATGCCAGGCAAGCGCGCCACCGCTTGAGCCACATCCCCAGCCCGTCATTTGTTTTTAAAAACAAACTTTATTTATAACAAATTGTCCCCATGCTGAGCCACAGTGTATTGTTCTTGCTATTTTGGTTTTTAGGCTGGGAATCTTAGCATAATCTTTGATTCCTCTCCATATATGACTTTACTCTTTAAAAGACTATCCCCTTTGGAAAAGACAGGAGGCCTGCCAAAATTCCCTTGCATGTGGCAGGACAAAGGACGTTCCTGGAGCTGACCAACTTTGACTTCTCAGGGTGTTTTGACCTAATGATTTTAATATCTCTTACCTGGCTTTATCTACCCAGAAACTTTTTAAAAATATACATGGAGATGACTGCCCTTTAGTATCAGATACATTATCACAAAGTTCGTGTGAGGCTGATGAATTAAATGTCATTCCTGCTTATATGCATATGTCATTTTTAGTCACTTAAATGTTCTAATCCTCTATAATAGGATTAGTGGTAATTAATTGTTAGAAATTATTAGAATGAAGGGATAATTATTTCAGGATATGTTAAGTACCAAAGCCGTGATCATACACCTCTAATTGGAATATCTGAATCCCTACTAGATCCATCCAGTTTGGGACAGATATAACTGCCACACTGATGTGCCTCTCTGAATCCCATTTATCTGTGTGTTCCAGATCTTAATGTTGTACACATTTTTATTGTACTGGCCCTTACTGAAATACGCAGCCATTCTTAATGCAGAAGCAGTTTCTGAGGACCTAAGATATATTCCTCCATTACAGGTTGATGAAATGAATTTCACTTGGAGAAGAAATCTTTTTTTTACTTCTAGTTTCTAAATTCGTGGTGTGTACTTGAGTGTCACTCAGGTGCTTCTTAAAATTTATATGCATGTTTTTAGTCAAGCTGTAAAATATCAGTTAGGATATACTTGTAATAGCAAAAAATGAAGCTGAACCTGGCTTGTGTAAAGATCCAACCAAAGGATAAGCTTTTGGACTTGGTTTGAATCAGAGATTCATGAGGCTATCAAGGCCCTGCTTTTGAAAATGTTAGCTTTGTTTTCAGGTTGGATTTCCTACTGCTGGCAGAATAGCTACACAGTTCCAGACTTAACATCCCCATAGCACATTATATAAAAGCAAAGCAAGTTGATTTCTTTCTCAGAGACCTCCAGCAAGGTTTCTCTCTCTTTTTATTTGCGTGAATTGAGGCAGTATGCTCATTCCTGAGCCAGTCCCTGTTTTGAGGGGAATGCACAGCATAGGCTTAGACCTAACTGTTGAACTAATTAATAATTAGTAGCAAAAGCAATAGGATTATCCAGAGAAAAACGTGTATAAGTTTTGGAGGCATCAGCTTTTCTTGAAGCACTTAAGCTGCATGTGGGGATGGAATGAAATCTGAATGAAATTTTGGAGTGCTTTTGGGAAGAGGGAAAGGAGGAATGGCTATCTGGTAGACAACTAAAGGCAACTCTTCTTCTTTTTTTAGGTACATGCAGAGTTTTCTTGAACTTTTAGAATATGAAAATAAGAGCCCTGAAGACCCACAAGTTTTAGATAAGTAAGTATGCTACCACTTAACTGAAAGAAAAAGTATCTAGGTAAAAAGATGTCTTGGTAAATGGAACTCCTGCCATTAAGACCCAAGAAATACAATTTGCACTAGTTTTCTTCGTGGCTAATGGCTCAAGGTTGACTTTTTTGAAATTTTTGAGTTAAGAATTTAACATAGTGCACAAAGAATAATGACCCTTCAAATTAATGCTTCATGACCCAATTCTTAATACATTTAATCAAGGTGAATTGAGTATTAACTCTAAACATTGCAGTAAATGTTCCATCTAGTGGTAGTTTTAAGAATGCAGTGACCTTCATATATACATGAATCATCTATCCAGTCTTTTTAAAAAAATTCAATGGGATATTATATTTGAACCCACAAACTATATTTTAGACAAGCAAAAAAAGAATGTACTTTTTTTCATATGGGGAATTGAACCTAGGGGCACAACACTGACCCACATCCCCAGACCTTTTTATATTTTATTTTGAGATAGGGTCTCAGTAAGTTGTTTAGGGCCTCTTCACCTGGCAAGAATGTGCTTTTTATATAACAACCTGAATTCTGTTGTTGTCATTACACACACAGACTACTAAGTTCTCATGCTGATGGAAAGTATTTCACTTTTTCATTTTTACTTAACCAAGAAACATTAACCCTAGATGTGAATGTGTTTTTCTCCAAGAGAAATTGCAATCTCTTTCACATTAATTTCTTCCTGTTTTATGTATATACAAGTGAATGCACATGGCAAGTCTGTTTTGCTGAGCAATTTCTAAGTATAAACCTAATTCACATAGTTGTGAGTCAGGCATCTATCTCAGGTGTGTCATGAAAAGGACTATAGAAACACCACATTATATCAACAACCTTAGGAGGTATTTAACACAGACCTCTGAATTCACAGATAAGGAAACTGAGGTCAGGGATATGAAATGACTTGCCCAAGATTGTGACAGTTCTTAGCAGAGTTGAACCTATAAGTCATGGTTCCTTTTCCCTTGTACACTCTTCTTTATAGTATACCATACTGCCAGAACTGCTGTTTGAGCCATAATTAGCTAGCTCAAGTTAATTGTAAATTAAGATATGAAAGAGAAGAATCTCTGATCAGTTATATTTTTATTTATTTTTTGGTACCAGGGATTGAGCCATGGGGGCTTGACCATTGAACCACATCTCCAAGCCTTTTTTATATTTTATTTAAAGACAAGGTCTTGCTTAGTTGCTTAGGGCCTCACTAAGTTGCCGAGGCTGACTTTGAACTTGCAATCTTCCTGCCTCAGCCTCCCTAGTTGCTGGGATTACAGGTATGTTCTACCATGTCTGTCCCTGACCGATTTTATTCTTCAGTAGGTGTTTTGTTTAATGGATCTGTGAAATGTGGATGCAGTGGTTTCCTTGATTCAAGCCACTGCTATAATTTAATGTGTTGATTGATAATAAATGAGTAGAATGCTGGAGCTTCGTTTTCTCAAAAGTCATTAGCTGATGACTGTTTGGCTAATGTCCCCAAAATTAGGTCTGGCCTTTCCAGCTCCAAATTTGAGGATGTAGATTTGTGGAAGAACACAGTACTAAATTTTTGCTGTGTTTTTCTGGACTCCTGTCTTAGTTTCTGGAAGAGGTTAACAGTCAGATGTAATTTATGGACACAGGCCTGCTTTGTAAATGGCCACTGTGAATGTAGCCTTTTCTGTTCAGTGGGAGGTTATTTGAGATTGCCAGCAGGGAAATCATTTTAGTAAAGTCAAAGTAGCTTAGAGGACAAGCATGTTTATCATAATAATAGAGTTTAGAAGAACATGGAAGATTGAGAAAGTATTCTGAGAATTGAACCATTGTCATATGTCTCTTCCCTTCAGATACATTGAAATACTATAATTAATTAACTGTTTCACTTTAGGAAGTTTTAATTTAATTTATATATACATTGGAAAGAGTATTGTATAAGGACAAATTGTCCATTATAAAATTTCTTATAAATATTTGTGTACTAATTTAAGAATTTATTCATTCATCTTTACTGTCATTGTATGTATGTAAGATCTTTCATCATTGAAAAAAATAAGACTATTCAGACAAGTAAAAAAAAAAATTGTTCCAAATTTCCACTAGGAGGAGACAACTACTGTTAACATTTTCCTTCTGTCCATGCTTTTTCCTAAGCATGCATATTTTTGTATGTATAAAATATTTTTTTACAAAAGTGTCTACATAACAGATGTATACCATTATTAGTTTCATAATATGGTTGTGCATTGCATAATGACAGGGATACATTAAGAGAAATCTGGGGCTGGGGCTCAGCAGTAGTGCACTTGCTGGGCATGTGTGAGGCACTGGGTTCAGTTCTCAGCACCACATATAAATAATTTTTTTTTAAAAAAAAGGTCAAACAACAACTAAAAAATATTTTTTAAAAAAGAGAAATCCATCATTGGGATGATTTTATCTTTGTGCAAATATCATAGAGTCTACTTACACAAACTAAGATGATTATGACATTGCTAGGTGATATAATCTTATGGGACTACCACTGTATGCAATTTGTCATTGTCTGAAACATTATTACGTGATACTTGACTATTCATATTCCTAGTCCTTCTATAGATATGTCATGCAATTTGATCACCTGTTGTTGGATTTTAGACTGACTTGAAGATTTCTTGCAATCACAAACAGTACTCTAAGGAACAGTTTTTAAAAACAGCTCTTCACCTTGTCCAGTATTTTTCCTAGAATCGATCCTGGAAATAGAATTATTTTATTCGGGCTTTTGATGAGTATTGTTAAATTGCTCTTAGAAATTTGTCAGTTAAGCTCCCACATTCCACTGACACTTGTTATTCTTTGCCAGTCTGATAAGTAGAAAACAGTATTGCATTGTTTTAATTTACTTTGTTTTTTTTAAAATATTTTTTCGTTGTTGATGGACATTATTTATTTTTACATGGTCTAAGGATTGAACTCAGTGCCTCACATGTGCTAGGCAAGTGTCCTACCACTGAACAACAACCCAGCCCTACTTTTTTTTGTGAGGGTAATATTACTGGCATTTGTGGTTATTCTTTGGTAAATTTTCCATTGATAATCGGCACTTTTCCTAGTTCTTTAATAGAACGCTCATCTTTTCCTTTATCAAGGATAATAACTCTTGCAAATACATTCTTCCTGGTTTTAGGATGTTTTTATTTTATATATAATGTATATTCCTATAGAATTATTGAAATTCTACATCATCATATCTTTGTTTCTTTATATCATTTGTTGCTACCTTTGGTATTAAGCTTAGAACAGCCTTTCTTATCCCATGCTTATATACTTGTTCACTTTATTTTTAATCACTTTTAAAGTTTTAAAAAAATATTTATTTTTTAGTTTTAGGTGGACACAATATCTTTATTTTGTTTTGTTTTTTTATTTGGTGCTGAGAATCGAACCCAGTACCTCATGCATGCTAGGCGAGCGCACCACCTCTTGAGCCACATCCCCAGGCTACCCTTTTACATTTTTAATCCTTTTTTTGGTTGTTGGTTTAAAACTTGCAATTGGGATATGACTTGAATTGTTAGCCTGCTATCTGAATTGATTTGATTATTAATTTGTGTGTGGAGGTACTAGAGATTGAATTTAGGGGCACTCTACCACTGAGCTACATCTCCAGCCCTTTTTCTATTTTATTTTGAGACAGGGTCTTGCTAAGTAGCTGAGGCTGGGTAATCCTCCTGCCTTAGCCTCTCAAGTTACTGGGATTACAGGCATGCACCATCATGCCCACTTTGATTATTAATTTGATTATTTTTCTACTGACTAGCAATGTCACTTTCCCAATATGCTAAATTTTTATGCACACATACTTACCTTTGGGCCTGATTTCAAACTTTTTATTTCATTCCATTGAAGGACTTATCTTTCTATACTAGTCACTATTTTTAATATATTTTTCCTATACATGTTTATGATAATGTGCGAGAATACTTGAATACATTTTTCTTTTTTCTTTGAGATGGGGTTTTACTATGTTTCCCAGGCTAGTCTCAAACTCCTGGGCTCAAGCAGTTCTTCCATCTCAGCTTCCCAAGTACCACTGTGCCCAACAAATACATTTACTACAGTATTGCTTTTTTAAAGTCTACATTTCCCCCTCCCTTTCCACAGGGGATTAGCAAGGATGGTGGAATGTGATAGACATCATTATCCAAAGTACATGTATGAAGACATGAATTGGTGTCAACATACTTTATATACAACCAGAGATATGAAAAATTGTGCTGTGTATGTGTAATAAGAATTGTAATGCACTCCGCTGTCATTTATTTTTTAAAAAAATCAATAAAAAAATAAAACCTACATTTCGTTATTGTATTTTACTACTGTAAGAAATTTTTTTCCAAAGTTTACTTTTAAAAAGTTTGATTTTCTGCCGGGCACAGTGGTGCATGCTTGTAATCCCATTAGCTTGGGGGACTGAGGTAGGAAGATTTCAAGTTCAAAGCCAGCCTCAGCAACAGTGAGGCACTAAGCAACTGAGTGAGACCCTGTCTCTAAATAAAACACAAAATAGGCTGGGGATGTGGCTCAGTGGCTCAGTGCCCCTGAGTTTACTTCCTGGTACTCACCCCCAAAGTTTGACTTTCTGTCTTTACTCATGGAAGGTATTGCTTTGAAATTCCATTAAAAAAATCCGTGGAGATTATTTTGGGATTTTCCTCATATTTTCAAAATAAATATTGACATGTTCTGAAATTATTTATAAACATTTATAAATCTATAAAACATTTATAGAATCTGTACTTTTTGTAACTACTTACTCAAAAAGCCAAAGGGCTTAGAATCATCATAATACAGTGATGCATCCACATCAATGTTTATAGCAGCTCATTTCGCTATAGCTAAACCAACCTAGGTGCCCTTCAACAAACGAACAGATAAAGAAAATGTGGTATATATACACAATGTAATATTACTCAGCCATAAAAAGAACAAAATTATGGCATTTGCTGGTTAAATGGATGTAAATAGAGAATATCATGCTAAGTAAAATAAGCCAATCTCAAAAAACCAAAGGCTGAATGTTTTCTCTGATATGTGGATGCTAATTTCACAATAAGGGGGTGGTTAGGGAAATGTAGAACCACTTTGGATTAGAAAAAGGGGAATTGAAGGGAAGGGAGGGGGAATGGGAAAAGGAAAGATAGTAGAATGAATCTGACATTTCTATCCTATGTTCATAAATGATTTTATGACCAGTGTAATTCTGCGTCATGTACAACCAGAAGAATGAGAAATTATATGCCATATATATATAATATGTCAAAATACATTCTATGTTGTATAACTAATTAGAACAAATAAAAGGAATTTAAAAAGTCATTGGAGTCCTAATAAGGTAGTTGAGCATTTTTTTTCCTTACCAGAACCTTCTACTTTTTGCATCTCTGAAAAGAACTTCTGTAGGAAATTTCAAGCTAACACTTGGTTAAAGTTTTTGTTTCTTGTGAGTATTTCCTTGATGAGAATAATGTCGACCTATAAAAATACCAGCAGATTAACCAGTCTGGGGATGGAGTTGAGAAGTGTGTGTATTAGCCCATGAGATGTAAAGACTGACTGTGTTTTCTTTCTTTCCCATACAGCTTTCTACAAGTTCTGATTAAAGTCAGAAATAGGCACAATGATGTGGTTCCTACAATGGCTCAAGGAGTGATTGAATATAAGGAGAAGTTTGGGTTTGACCCCTTCATTAGCAGTAACATCCAATATTTTCTGGATCGATTTTATACCAACCGCATATCTTTCCGCATGCTTATTAACCAGCACAGTAAGTTGAGTTTTGTTGATCCTTTTACAGAGGTAACCACAGTGATTTTTCCCAGTATTCTTCTTATTTCACTTTTAATTTACTGACCTACATTTTTGGCTATAAAAATTTCATTGCTAATTTAGTTTTTCCTAAGTAAATCCTGTTAAAAGGCTGTTAATTGGTATTATTGAATACTAATTGTTGATGTTCATCTTAGATAGGACCACTCCCTGCCACTTAAGTCTCTGCCATTATAGTCCTGGTAGACAAAGGGACTAGCTTTAATGGCAGCTGTGCATTCATCTCTGAATAATTTTATGTGTCTCTGAGAGTATGTTATACTCTTTGTTCAAGTTATTGTATGTTTTCCTTTTTAGTTTTAAGAATATCTGGTACCAGGAAATATTGAATTAGCATGTTGGCAATATGAGCAATCAATCCTGTATTTTAAAATATCAGTGAAATCTGATTAAGCAAGATTGTCAGTGCCTAATCCTGCATTGAGAGTTTTAGTTCACTTTCTAAGCAGATATGAAGAAAACAAAAATTCTCTCAATACAATAAGCTTTTTAGCTCATTTTCAGTGTTATATCTTTGGCTGATTTCATAATTCTTAATAAAAAGCATTCATATGTCTAGAGCCTAATTCATCCTCTTTGCTGAATCAGAAAATGGATAGAGCACCTTTATTTTACTAATTTGATTCATTGGATAAGCAAATGTTACACAACTATTAAATATGGTTTACTTAAATGTGTGACAGAAATGTATGACATTTACAGGAAATTTAGATGAGAAAAGACTCTAAATACTACTCAGCTAAATTACTTAGATAACTGAAATTTCTTTTGGGATCTAAGTATGTAGATTTAGACATATATCTACATTTTTAGATCATTGGCTAAACGTATATCTCTGATTCCTTCCCCTTAATCAGTTGAAACTTTATGTACTGGTCTAATGCCCATATTTACCATTTTTCATAATTCAAAATCTGTTCTGTTTTATTTAGGCCTTTTTTGTAGTATCTAAGTTATTTTCAATTTTTTACCTGATTTAAAATAACTGCACCTATAAAACATTTGGACTGAGGTTGCTTTTTTCTTTGGGGTTTCTTGACTTTTGTTCAGAAATAAAATTTGCAGTACTTGTGTATGGTGAAATTTTCTGAATGTTCTTTTTAAAATACTTGAACAAATATTGTTTGTGTATGTGACATTGAAAAATAATCTCTATGATGAAAGCTTTTGAAATGCTGCCAGTGAAGAACATCACAGACCTATCCAAATGGTTAAAGACTATGTGTTCTAAATATTTAGCAAATGTTGAGATAAATGTCTGCAGTAGTCCTGGGAAGGTGGATAAACTTGGCTAAGGATGAAAGTAAGTTTCTTCATCCAAGTCACACTGGTTGGGGGAGAACAGGTTGGGCACCTAGCACCCACTGACTATAACTGATGAGTCTTAAAAGCACATTCTTATTTCTTCATTCGTTGGTGGAGTTTCTCCTCCATCAATTACATGCATTCCATTGCTTTAAGTCATTAGGGACACTAAAATGATTCTTACATATAAGGGAGCCTTTCAATGCTTATAAACTCATATTTCTCTGCTTGATCATCCCAGAATGCTTTGTTTAAAAATCTTCTCCCTTTCCTTTTGTGTTCATTTAGCACTTCTATTTGGTGGTGACACTAATCCTGCTCATCCTAAACATATAGGAAGTATTGATCCCACCTGTAATGTGGCTGATGTGGTGAAAGGTAAGGAGACTGATATAGCATTTCAGCTGCAACCCAAATAGTGTTGTGGTTTATTGGAGGCAGATTGGCCATAGGGTTATATTGTTATGTTTACTGCTGATTCATCAGGCCACCTTAAACCCACGCCACTTAATCCAAATATGAAGTGTTCTTTGTAAACAGTTCTAAGAAAAGATGCATAATTTTTAATGTTCAAAATGTTAGCTTCTTTTTTTGTGTGTTTAATATTTTTTTAATTTGTTGTTTTTAGATATATATGTTCTACTTCATTGATTAGGGCTATACTTGTAGTTTTCTCTTATACACTAAAAATTTGAGTAAAATTCTCAGCTTTGATTGCCAACATCATTTGAAAATTTCCTTGTTATAAAATTAGGCTGAGTTCATATATTTGTAAAATGTAAGCATCTTTCTGTTGTGCACTCCTAGTGAGAATCTATGTGGCATGTGAGCTTAGTTAGACACTGCAAGTAGCCTTAGGGTGGATAAAACTGGGCCATGTAGTCATAAATCCCTGGTACCCAGGCAATTTAAGTTTGAACAGCAATTTCATAATTCCTTGAAGGTAAATTGTTATCTCCATGTAGCCTGATTGGTTATAAGTGATCTACTAGGTTCCTGTGCTTCAGTTTTTTTCAGTATTATAATTACTCTGTGTAGCCTCAGATCCCCAACCTGTCTCTTTTCCTACATTTTATCTCCTATTGTGTTCCTCATCTCCCTCCTCTAAACACTCAACCTGATACATTTTCATGACCACAACTCTCCCTGGTTTTCATCAAGGAACTCTGTTGCTCTTCAGCACTCACAACAAAGGAAAACCTATGCAATTTGTTTACCCTGGGCATTTCTAAATCCAGGGAGGAGGACCCAGGCCTGCTGGCCTTAGCTCAGCCTGATTATCAAACTGCTTTGGCCTCTGCATAGTCAGAAAATATTTACTCACATTATTTCAGTTATAAGGTGCAAATTCAGTCTGTATTTTGCATGTGTACCTTTTCTCTTGACTTATGAACAATTTAAGGTCAGGTTTTGTGTCTTAAAATTGTTTTCTAACTTGCATAGAATGTAGTATGATACTTGTGTAGATGATCTGTAAATATTCCTTGGTTTGATACATTTTAAACCTTTTGATAATTTACTCAGCAAGTTGAGACATATTCTAATACTATTCAATTCACCAATTTAAAGTGTGTATACAATTCAGTGGTTTTTAGTATATTTACAGAATTGTGCACCCATCACCACAATCTAATTTTAGAACATTTTTCTTCACTCCAAAAAGACCCTGTACCCATTAATAATTACTCTCTGCTATTCCTTTCCTCAGCCTTAGGCAACCATTAATCTACTTTCTGTCTCTATATAGACTCCCTTATTCTGGACATTTCAATATATAAAATATGTAGTCTTTGGTGACTGGCTCCTTTCACTGAGTATAATGTTTTTATATGCCATCCATTTTGTAGTGCTTATCAGCAGCACATTCCTTCTTTTTTCATTTATTTTATTTTTTATTTTCAATTTTTTTTGCAGTGTTGGGAAGCAAACTAATGCTAGGCAAGTGCTTTACCACTGAGCTACACCCCCAGGCCACTGCATTCCTTTTTTATGGCTGAAAAATATTCCATAAAATGGCTATCACACATTGTGTTTATTATCAGCTAATGAGCATGTGGGTTAGCTGGGTGACCTTGAACTGTTATGTAACCTCATTGGGCTTTAGTTTCTTTATCTGTAAAATGGCAGTATAGGGCTCTTAAGAGACAATTGAAATTTTGAATACTGGATATTTGATATTAAAGAAATATTTTTGGTATGATTTTTGTTTGTGGCTATGTATTTTAGAAGAATTCTAGCTTTGAGAGAGGTATTTAAAAATATTTTGTATGATATAAAATGATGGATTTGCTTCAAAATTATATAGAGTGAGGGGGATGAGAAAGATTGGGTATGTGTTGAAAATTGTTGAGGCTATTAATGAGCACATGGGGATTCATTATATTATGTTCTGTACTGTGGTATGGTTTTTGGTTTTGTGGTACTGTGGATTGAACATGGTAGGCAAATTCTCTACCAATGAGCTATATCCCCAGCCCGTATGTTTGAAATTCTTTATGATAAAGTCTTGAAAACACTCATTTTAATTATCTCATTGTTTCTTCACAAATAAAGTCTTTCACTGATTTTTAGGGGAAGTTTTAACCAAGAGCCAGTAGAACTTGGTAAGTAACCAGGAATTTTATGAAACTGTGACTACTATAGAACAGAGAGATTTAACATTGTTGAAGTGAGTCAAAGGCCTGTGGGGAGTTCAAGGAGGGATCTTCTGTAACTTTATACCTAAGGCCAAAATAATCTATTATTTTTGGGCTGGGGATGTGGCTCAAGTGGGAGCGCGCTCGCCTGGCATGCGTGCGGCCCAGGTTCCATCCTCAGCACCACATACAAAGTGTCTGCTGATAACTAAAAAAATAAATATTAAAATTCTCTCTCTCTCTCTCTCTCTCTCTCTCTACTTTCTCTTTAAAAAAAAGAATCTATTGTTTTGTTTTATGGCACATACTGTCTGTATTGCTCTATTATATTTAATACATATTACCTGGTCTTGTCATTATTTATTCTTATGTTATTCTTTCTCAACTGGGTGTAAATGTCTAAAAGTCCAGAATTACTCTCATACACTTTTGCATTACTCCATTTTTTTGTTTGTTTTTTTGGTACTAGGAATTTAACCCAGGAGTAATTTACCACTGAGCTACTTTGCAGTCCTATTTATTTATTTATTTATTTATTTATTTATTTTGAGGCAGCGTCTCTCTAAGTTTCCAAGGCTGGCCTTGAATTTGTAATCCTCCTGGCTCAGTATCCTGAATGCTGGAATTATAGGTGTGTACCACCACATCCAGCCCATCACTCCACTTAATGACAGAAATTTGTACCAAAAAACTAGCTGAAGACTATTTGTAAATTAGTTCAATACATATTTGAAAAAAGCCTGGAAGTTTACGCTGATAGCATACCTCTTAGCCTCTTTGTGTTAGCTTTCCATCACTGCAAGAAAACACCTGAGATAAACAACTTAAATGGAGGGAAGATTTATTTATGCTCATGGTCTTAGAGGTTTGAGTCTATGGTCACTTGGCCTTATCACTTTGGACCTGTGGCAGCATAATTCATCATGGCAGGAGTGCATGGAGGAGGCCTGTCCACTACCTGCCAGGTAGGAAGTGAAAGAGAGAGGAAGAGACTTGGGGTCCTGTTTTAGTTAGCTTTTTCACCACTGTGACCAAAAGCCCTGACAAAAACAATCTTAGAGGAGGAAAAGTTTATTTGGCATCCACAAAGTTTCAGAGGTCTCAGTCCATAGACACCTGACTACTATGTTGCTCTGGGCCCAGAATGAGGCAAACACCATCACAGAAGGGTAAGGAGGAGAACAGATGCTCAGGACATGGAAACTGACAACCAGAGAGAGACTGAGCTCTGCTCACCAGAGATGAAATATACACACCAAAGGCATGCCCTCAGTGACCTATATCCTTCAGCCACACTCTATCTTATCCATAGTTAAGTGGGTTAACACACTGATTAGGTTAATACTCTCATAATCCAATCATTTCATACTGAGATTTTCTTGCATTGTCTCACACAAGAGCTTTGAGGGATACCTCATATTTAAACCATTAACAGGGCTCAATACCTCTTTTAAGAGTATGCCCCCAGTGACCTAACTTCCTTCCACCAGTCCCTGCCTCCTAATGGTTCCATGACCTCCCCATTGCACCACAAGCTGTCAATACATGGTCTTTGGGGAACATTTAAGATCCAGATCCCTTTTATTCACAGTTTTGATCATAGGCTAAAATCCCTTTCTTTTCCCCACTCTTCCTGTACTTAGTCATAATTTTATCTTCACTCCTTCTGCCCTTTTTCACTTTATACCTAGTAGTATACTATGAACAAAGTGGACTACCTCTGCTTGTGCAAATTATTTCTACTGCTTATCCACTGTAACTAAAGCCTAAATTCCTGGTGAAGCTCTATCCAATGAAAGTCACTTCCCCCACTTCTCTATGCCTCATAATTCCACTTCTCTGTATATATATACATGCATACATGTGCATGAGCACACACACTTGGATGTATACATATAGATTCTACCCCCACACTCATGGAATAAGAAGAGATTGTTATGCACTCTTTTCCCCTGTGTATCTTTCAAACAATATTTTTCATCTTTCAACAACCTCTTCCCTTAAGAGGGGACAAAACAGTAGAGGGTGGTTTCAGATTCAAAAAGTACATAAAAGCTCTAAAGCAACATCCACATAATTAACTTTTCTTTTTTTTCTTTTTTCATCATGTCCTAATTTTTTAAATTTTTAAATCTTTTTATTTATATATGATAGTGGAATGCATTATAATTCTTCATAATTAACTTTTCTGACACCCATCTTTTCCTTTGTACATCATGCATATTGATATTCTAGCACATTTTTTTGGCTGGTATATATTTTGTAGAATGTGTTTGTACTTCTGCTTCCACCCAGTAAGGTGTGTACTTACTAAGGGTCACTTATTTGTACCTAAACTTGGTATAAGTTACAGTGCCTTTTGTGATTACCTAATTTATTTAAATGGCATGTAAACTGAAGAAATGTGACTTTTCTCATTAAAACCAAATTTATTGCTTTGGAGAAACTCAATAAGGGAAAGTCTCTTAAATTTAATGAAATTACTGTGAACAAGAAAATTATTAAATTATAGGCCAACAAAAAGTTAAAATCTTAGAAGGAATCCATAATCAGATTGCTTATGAGTATCTGCAATCTTATAACACTTTAAAGAAATAGGAATTATAATTCATTGATATGGTGTTGTTTATCCAAGAAAGATAACCTGAAACCCCAAAATAATCCATATTCAAAGAAAAGACTTTGGGCTTACATGACCTTATTGGCAGACTAAATTGTATATTCAAATTTGCATTTTAAGAG